TGTGTGTGTGTGTGTGTGCGCGCGCGCATGTGTGTGTGTGTGTAAATCCCACTGTTGTACTGAGGTTCACTTCAACACATGGGGCACTGCAAACAGGTGAGAACCATATTATGGTCGCTTTGTCCAATCACAGTAATTGTGAAGAAAAGACCCAACACTTTTCTTTTTCAATGTTTTGAAAGATCTCCCTTTATTTTTATGTTGTTACAGGCCTGAGGCAACAGAATTAAAGGGAGAGGCTAACTTATTCTGTCTCAATAATTATGCAGTACTAACAGCAGTCAAGTCATTAAGCTGAAGCCCAAGTGCACATCAGTAAGCACGGCTACAATTACAGGACACACACTATTGTACCGTACAGTATGTCTTTTAACTGCATTGCCTTGCCGCAGCTTTTTGAAGTTTGCTCTAAAAAGTCACGATGCGTTCTGTCACGTCTCTTTCCAGAGAAACAGACCCAAAAAAAGTCCATCTGGTTTGCGTCTTAGGAGGATTTGGAATTTGTGACATGAGGCACAAACATTTCCCTGACACAAAAAATGCATCCGAGGATGTTACCTAATCTGCCGTGTCTGTGCAGATGCATGACTCTCTGAGGCCACTGTAAAATGAGGCTTGTACGGGCAACACCGAGGGCCAAAGGTACCCAGCTGCTCAGAGATTTGATGAGCAACAAAAGTGTTCACAAACTCATTACACACACACACACACACACAGAGGTCACACCTACTCACACTGGCCTTTCACCAACTAAAATGAAGCACAAATGTGAGTTATTTCCTCTGACTCACATAGGCTGTGGCCATATAAGACTTTTACTCCTATTCAGCTGGTGGGGGAGTGCCGCTCCGGAAACTGTCACACACATAATGCATGCACAGTTACTCACACACTGCTAAATCATAATTTAAACACCCTGAACTGCCAACATTATCTAACAATCAATTTTTTTAAGGATCTTTGGAACAGAGTTTACAGAAACGCTAAAGAATGTTAAAATTATTTTTAAAAACAGATTTTTGTGAATCTACAATGCACTGATGCAGGAATTTGGGAAAACGTGTCATGATACATGATAAAGCATTTTCAGCGCAGTATACTTTTGCTTTATCTGGGTACAGCCGCACCTTTAAATGCAAAGTGTTGATATAAAGTGCAAAGCGCCAAAATGGATTTCCACAAGACAATTTGCTCTAGAGGCGATAAAGATAAATGATCAAACAATAATTTTCATGGCTTCAGTATTGATTTATGGATCTGTACTTGCTGCAGATTGAGTTGTGGTGGGAGGGAAACGTGTGGTCATGTAAATTATTATTGGCCTCTGTAAGTTACAATACTTGCAGGTGTCCGTGACGGTGAGCTTAAAGACAAATAAAAATTATATTAACTTTGCTACTCATTATCATCCCACGGATGAAGTGTTTTACAACCTTGTAACTTGAACCTTGTAGACATGAATGAAGAAGGTGAGGATAGTTTAAAAAATGGAGAGTGACAAAAAGAAGAGGAGTTTAAAAGGAAACGGGGTCAAGAGCAGCAGATGTGCTGACTAAGAACTAAAGAGAGTGACTTGTGAAGCGTGGTGGGCAGACAGGCTGAGAAGAGAGAGTTCCTCACCCCGAAGAAGGGCAGAGTAAAAGGAGAACAGGTGACAACCTCAAACAGATGGTAGTGAAAGCTGGTGCAAGCTAAGCAAGCAAAAAACAAAAGTCACTCTATAGTCACTTTTTACAGATGGCAGATGCAGGACTGAAAAAAGCAATCCTGTATATATTTATGCACATTATAATGTACATATACTGCACATGAGACTC